CATAATGAAAATCTCCTGCTACTCAGAAGAGGAGCTTCTCGGAAATCAACCAAGTTATTTTAAAAGATTTAAATCTTTATTCCCAGCACAATTCGAACAAGAAATGAACAAACTCACCAATACTACCATATCACAACAACTTTGAACATCAACAGCCTATAAAAAAATCATTGAAGAAATTTTAACCGACCTAAATAACATGGAACTTCATGAGTTAATCTTAAACCAACTAATCACATTAACGTAAAACACTAACGATAGGCCCAAACTAAACACTAATGTTGGACAAAGACCAATATTCAATCTATGACATTCTCTTTAACTTCTGGGGACTTGAAAATAATGGAAAATATCCTTACTTCTTCTTAACCGGATCAGCAAGTACCAGTAAATCATACCTCCTTTACATAATAATCAACCTTCTAAAATCCAGAAAAATCAATTACCTCATAATAGCACCTACTGGCATTGCAGCTCAAAATGTTGGCGGTAAAACTATTCACTCAGCACTAAAAATAAGGCAAACACAATGACATTATGAAACCCTGATCATCAATGATCATACTGCGAAAGAAAATCTAAAAAAATCCAAACATTAATCATAGAAGAAGTATCTATGGTTTCCAGCAAATTACTCTCTTTCATAAGTAACATGTTTGGCTCTATTCACAATAACTCAAAAATATTTGGAAAAATTCCTGTTCTTCTAGTTGGTAACCTCTTCCAATTACCACCAATAAATGCCCAATATACATTCCATTCACCAGTCTGGAAAAGATTTTTTTCGTTATTCTTAACCCAACCAAAGAGACAAAAAACTGATCTAAGCTTCTACAATCTACTCCAAAAATTACATTACGGTTGTCTATCTCAAGCTTCAAAGAAAATGATCACTGATAAAATCCAAAATTCAACCACCAACCTCGATGCTATAGCATCAACACACCTCATAGGAATACGTGATACTGCTAAAGAAATTAACAAAATTATATGTGATCACCTTTCTAATAATGAATGCGAAATAAACTCTATAATATAATATTAAAACCTACAATACCCTTAACCATAACTTACTTAACACAGATGATCATAATAATCTTAGATTCAATTGTCATACCAACTTACCAGATGAAGTAATCTTAAAAGAAGAAGCAAGAGTTATGTTCCTCAACAACAAACTATTTGACCACAACATTTGTAATAGTACAATAGAAGTCATCACAAACATAATAAATCATCAAACCGTCGAAATAACATTCCCAACAACAACAGACATCATAAAATTAAATGTTCAAAAAGAAACATCATACTTCATAATCAACAGAAACCCAGCATCAAGACAGCAGTTCTCTCTTCAAAACACCTTTGCTTTAACAATCCACAAAACTCAAGGGTTAACTTTACCTCACACTACACTTAGTGTAGACTATAATATATTCACAGAAGGACAAGTGTATGTTGCAATGAGCAGAGCACCTACTTGGGAATCAATTAATATTCTAAACTTCGACTTCAACTCTCTTAAAACAAACAATTCAGTTATGAACGAATATGCGAGACTAAAAGAAATATACAGAAAGGTTTAGTACATATGAAAAGATAAATGTTTAATTTCTTTAACATTACATAAAAATTTCCTTTTATGTACGATTTATTTGATTTGATAATCAACCCAAACTAAATTTGTACAAATCAAATGTATATATACTTGAATGTGCATAATATACATGATTAATTTCACATACATTAATACATATATAAAGCAATAAATAAGTACAAAAATCCATAAAATCCATTTTTATATAATTTGCCCACTTAAATATTTCATAAATAAAAAAAAACGCAACAGAAATGCTAAATACCAAACAGTGAACTATTTAAAAAAAAATATACAATCTAACTTCACAAAAAGGAAAAAAAATATACACATATACATATACACATATCCAAAAAAAAAAAAAATACTGTACATCCAAATTAAATATAACAACGAAAGATACATATTTCATTTAAACAAAATAAATAAGTATATTCCTTCTAAGTTTCTCACTCCATTTCTCGAGCATAAAGCATGTAATTCATCCAACTAATAACTTAATAGGTTTAAAATAAACAGATTACTCATAATAAAAAGTTATAATTTTCAATAAACCAAAACAGTATAAGTTCAGATCGTAGTAAATTCCCAGTAAAGCCAGACCCACAGAATAAGATAAACATAAATCAATATTCTTGGAACAACCATCATATTCGGTAATGAAATTTTTTCGAATAACCTTTTTTTTTTAAAAAAAAAAAATAAAAGATTTAAAAAATTTAATCAAAATATGAAAATATCTAACAAATTAATCTTACCTCAAAACATGAATTTATTAGAAAAAAGATTAATTTCTACAACCAAATTCAGATGTTCATATACGAAATACATCAAAATCATAGCAATAATAAGGTTATATAAGCAAAAAAAAGCAACGTTTTAATATAACACGGTGACCTTCTTACGAATTTTGAAAAAAAAGATCATCTTGATAAAAACAACAATGAAAAAGATTAAAACTTCAGGAAAAGCAGATACCAACATGTACCAGCATGATGGATCATATGAGAAAAGCACCAAACATAAAATAATAATGTGATAGGAAAAATATAAAATGAATAAAGAAGTGACAAATTTTATTTAAAAACTTTACTAACAGCGATCAAAGTCAGAAATCATTGGGAAACCAAAAAATGAAGAATCGTAATAAAAAAAGAAAGAACGAAAAAAAACACGAAAAACATTTTCAAAGTGTTATTATAAAATCAAATATTGGAAAAAAATTAAAGATACAAACAATCGAAACAATCTCTTTATAAAATTTATGAAAAAAGCAACTATTAATAGCCGTAAAATAACGCAAACTCATTAAACACATAAGCACAATACTGACTAAACTTAATTATTTAAAAACATACAACAAATATAAGTACAATTCATTTCCACATATATTTAATTTAAAATATTCAAAATTATACTAACCACTAACAACATGCATCAACATTGACTAAAATGAGGCAAAATTACTAACAAAACCAATTGCCTAACAATTATGTTCACACTTACAACCATCACAATTAACCTTGCGAAATTCAATTTAACAGCATTAACTATACTATAATATATCTTAAAACACTTATATTATATTTAAACAAACAACAAATGAGTGACAGGACATTTATTATTGTAGTAATATGTATTCCTAATTCTTATAGGTGTAGATATCACTACAATGATAATGAGTGAAATAATTACATGTTTTCATATCCTGTTACCCATATATATATCGATAACAAACTTTCAAAATATATAACACTGTCCATAATATTCGCTAAGCAATCACAACTCACAAACATTATTATCCCTAAACGAAACCGATTGTATGATTAATAAGGATAGTTAAAATTTCAAATACTACATATTAATCAAGAATTATTTTAAAATATTATAAATACTAACTATTATTTAATATTATACTTCACTATGATCAGTTTATAAAATAAATCAATTATTTTATAGTATTTTTAAATGATAAAATAATTGAACTATTTCATAAATCTGAGATAGTAAAGCATAAAATAAAACTGTTATTGCATACTTCGTATGCAATAACTATATATTATTATCACCCAAATATAAAACATAGACCCAAACCATTAAGCTTTAAATCTCCCTTAACAATATAATCTTAAACTTCAACGAATAAAGTATTCAGTATATTTTAATTGAACATTAAAAGATTGCTCTATTTATAACAATTTAACAATTGCTTAATTTAAAAACTTCGAACACAAAAAAACAAGGTAGCTACTTTTAAAAAATTTATACCCTGAAATCCCAAATGCCATTTCTCCAAATAGACCCAATAATATCAATTAACTTTTTCAATACTATATTTTCTCCAAACTCTGCCTTTTAGTATTTTAGAATATAACACTATTTAGTCCAATTAAAAATTCAGTAAAAACTAATCACTTTTTATGTTTGAATTACAAAATAAGTAAAAATACTGAAGTAATGTTTTTCATAATAAATTTACAAAAAAAAAAAAAAAAAAAATAGAAAAAAGTAAGTTACATCCTGATCATTTAATAATCAAAATAATAATCAAAAAATACTTTCGATTTATTGAGTAAAAAGCCCTAGAAAGCATTTCTAAAAACATTGAAATTATTTCTACCACATATATACTCAATATGTGACAAATCTATATATAAATTTTAGAAAAATGCTCTTATCAATTAATAAACCTTAACAAGACATTAAAAAAAATAAAGCTTTCAGCATATGAACAAGCATAAAATTAGCTTCAATGTTACGATAAATCAAAATTTTGATTTTATACAATATTCTACATTACTAATACCCCTAAATATTATATATATTGAAGCGAGACAATCGCTATTATAAATATAACCTACTAGTATTAAAAAGAAACAATATAAATTTTCTCTCTGATTATTATGTATCGATTCATAATTGTCTTTATAATTAGATAATTAATTATCGTATGTTAAATAATTAGTTTGATACAATTGATACATTACAATTAATTTGTGATCCGTTTGCAGATCAGTGAAAATCATATGATTAATATATATAACAGTGGGGATAACTTTTAATAAGTTTTAGAATCTGTTATTCTATACAATGTCAAAACGTAAAGAACATACAATAACATTAATCTCTCCAGGTCATATTGTTTTAAACTTACATTATGGACCTAGTTGTCATAATTGGTGGTTATTACGACCAACTAAAAAAAACAAAAATCCTATCTTTCTTTATCCAATACGACTCCATATGAAAACCCTAATCACTTTTCAAGAACATGATATTATAACTGAAATAACTGAAACGGAATCAGAGTTTGTAAATATAATATTTTTAGCGAATTTTCTACATCACTTACATATATCAAAAAGTTACAAATACTAAAACTAAATTTTCAGGGCCTGCTATTATGGGATTCAATACACCAATTATATCTAAAACTTTAATTCAAAATATACCTTTTCAAGTATATATTATTTCTTTAGAAAAATTAAGAATTTGGGTACTTGGTGTAGGAAAATCAAATAATAATGAATGGAATTTTGCTGGAGCCAGTTATAAAGCTGCATTTGTTTATAAATATCAAAATGAACGATGCATATTTTTTGAAGAAATAAATGAGGATGAATGCACACTTACAATTTATAATAATCAAACAATAGTTAAAAAAACTTTCATTGATAGTACTCCCGATTTATTATGGAATAAATTAGACTGTTTAAAGAAAAAAACTTTTTAGTTTAGAAGAACCATATATGCAAAATATAATTCAATCTATTCAAATACCTAATTGCACATTAAATGAATGGAATAATAATGAAAAAATGGAATATGTTTTTAATTATCATTTAAAGCAAAGACTTTCAATACAAGTAAATTGGATTGAATTATTTCAACAATGGTTAACAAAAACATCAACTATAATAGAATTACAA